GTTTTTTTCATCCTCACTTTAGGTTCTCACACTTTCAGAGGGATGTTGACGTGGCATCAAAGGTGTTAATTATGCTAATGTGGATAATAACATCATTAATTATATGATAATGTGTCAGTTAGCAGCTGATGTATATTTTTTTTTTGGAAAAAAAAGGAAAGAAAAACTTATGTGTTTTTTTTACAATTATTACACATATAAGTACTGTTTAAGGGGGAGAGGGGTCTCTCCATTTTTCCCCTCCATTTCCCTCCACTTCTCCCATCCCCACCATTCAAATTATTTTATTAAATAATTTTTTAAATGATAAAATTAATGAATGCTGGGGATGGGGGAAGTGGAGGGAAATAAAGAGAATAAAAGTGGAGAGACCCTCTTCCCGGTTTAAAGTTACAAGAAAATGTCACATGTTCATTTTTTAAATTTTTTACAATTCTATACATTAAGGTACCTTTCCTACGACTTTGCACTCTAAAGTCGGATTTGAGGTTAGGTTTGGAATGATTTATTATTTTTTAATGTATATAAAATATATTATTTAGGTTTGGAGCCAGGTTAATTTCTTTTTCACTTTCTAATTATTAAAAAAATCCTCCCTTGGTTCTTATTTATAAGGCATATTTTAGAAAAAAATTTGATCTAAAATATAAGACACTTTATAATAATTAAATTACTTTTTTTTTCATTTTATCCTTTCTTAATTAACATGAATATATTTAATATAATTGTATCATTATTTAAAGTTAAGGGTAAAAATAAAAGTATATATCATATTTTTATGATATTAAGAAAAAAATAATTTTTTAAGATGCGTGAAATGGTTGAAAATATCTTATAATACGAATCGGAGGAGTACACATGAGCTTTTATTTCATTTTGTCCTAAAAAGCATATACACCAACCACTAACTGATACACTATCATATAATTAATGATGTTATTGTCTACGTTAGCATAATTAACACAATTAATACCACATCATCACCTCTTAAAAGTGCAGGAACCTAAAGTGCAGATGGACAAAATTTTAGAAACTTGGAACAACAAAAATAAAATATAATGACTAAAAATTATGTTTTTTCAAATTTTTATAAGTAAAGTTGAAGCATATATAAGATTTCACATTCTAATCAACCAATGTCCCCTACTACTGTCGAAAGTAGAACGAAAAGGCCATAATAACACATGGACAGTAAATCGATAATCCAACAATGACCACAAGAACTGGCCTTCGGAAAAGCAAGTTAAATATAGTGCCAACTGCTGAGTTCCCGCTCTACAAAAATGTGTCATGAAGAATATTCTGACAGATAATGAGGAATCAGTGAAAAGTTGCAACTTCTAAGTGTGCATTCTGATTCATCCACTAAAACATATGACAAAATTGCAAAGGATGAACAGAAATAATATGCACCAGTTTTCATTTAAAAAGAGCAAATTTTGTGCATGCCCCGATCTTGGCCTCCACACTATCAGGCACCCACCCTGATTCCTTTAATATGTGAGCAAAGAATTAGACGAAGAAGGAAAATAAGATGGAGAAGGATAGAGTGAAACAGATGAAGAAGGAAAGAAAGAAGAAAGTTAGCAATAGAAAAAAAAAAGAATTAAAATCTCCCACCTTTGAAAATAGAGAAGTGACGTTCTAGGTCACGAAGAAATAAATCAAATCTGGAGAAAGGGAAGGATGCATTAGCCCTGATGATCTCAACGAGGCAGAGAGATGAAGAGAATCAGAGAAAACATATGCTAATCAGAGAGAGAGAGAGAGAAGCTCCTCTAGATTTGTAAGCCTCTGGATTCGACGAACCCATGCTTGTACTCGCAGCAGAGACAACTTATGTAGAGGGAGATTATAATTAGTAGCTTACAAAATCAAAGGTCTTCGCAATCAAACACGCATTAGATTTTGCTGAGGTGGTGGAAATCGGAAGAGCGAGCTCTGCTTGCTAAGACATCATTGGAGGAAAAGATGGCTGAGGTCAAGAATATTAATCAAGGGAAGCATGCAGTGGCGGTTCGAAAGCAAATGGTGTTGTATGTGGAAGACAGTGAGAAATGTGGAGGATTTTGCTGATGGAAGAATGGGAGGACGACGATTTTTTGGGGAATAGGTAAATGGAGTGAGACATTTGTACAAGGAACACCATATGAGATAAAGGATGAGTAAAAAAATTTTGATTTAGTACAATGGGTAATGGTAGAAACCAAAAGATAGAAGGTTGCACCCTAGCTTCATGTTAGGTGAAGTGTCACCAGCCATTACAAATGAAATACCAAAAATACCCAAGAGTTTTTTTTTTTTTTATGAGGTGTGGAGTAATCTTATTTTTACCATTCTAAAAAATTCCAAAAATACCCTCATTTTACTGTTTATAAGTTATATTTTTTGGAATAGTTATCTACTATATGTTGATTGATGATGATTCATGCATGCTAAACGCCCAAGTCACTAAAACAGAAATTGACACTTGTTATCATCCAATATTAAAGAGGGTACAATTTAAAACAACAGCCAATGGGTTACCATGTCCCGATTTAGTGCTTAGGGTGTGTTTAGATTTCAATTAGAAAAATTAGTTATAGAAAAAATTGATTATTAAAACGTGATGATATTTAGATAAATTTTTAAAAATTAATTTTGATAAATTGAATATGTTTGGATGATTTTTTGAGAATTAATTTTGAATGTACAAATAAATGATATAAAGAAAAGGAGCCAAATGGAGTTTTACAAATGAAAGAAATTTTAGCTTCTCTAAAATGGAGTTTCCCAAACCAAGTGGAGTTTTATAAAATGAGGGTGTTTGGATAAATTTTTACAAAACCATGATTTTGACCCCAGAATTGATTCTCAATGAGTATCCAAATAGGCCCTTACTTTTGGGTTTGTTAAAAAATATAAAATATTTTTTAAAAATATATAATTAAAAATATAAAAAATTTGTATTTTAAAATATAATTATCATGTTTTTTAAAGTATCCATAATAAATAAATTACTCTATATTTATTTTAAAGTAAAATATCATATTAAATGAAGGTAAATATGAAAAAAAAGATATTAGTTTGAAAACAATTAACTATTTTATTTGATAAAAAAATTAACTATTTTATTAAAGGATGAGATTTAATTGAATATCTTATATTTTTTAATGGAAATAGTACATAAATAAAATGAAAAACTGTAAAAATTTTAATTTATATTTTGTAGCCCGGTACTCTAGTTGAAATCTTAGGATCCAAGTTAAAAAAAATTTTACTCTCTCTATTTAAAAATGTAAGGTATTTTTTAAAGAATTGAATGTTCAAAAATGTAAAGCTTTTTAATCTTTTATGGTATAATCATTGCATTTTTTTTCAAAAATGTTCCTATTGATAATGACTTGATATTTATTGTAGGGTGTTTAATGAGAGTAAATATGAAAAAATAGAGTTAATTTGACAGTAAATAATTACTTTATTGAGGGGTCGGATTTGATTAAAAATGCTTTATATTTTTTAGTGGAGAAAGTATTTGTTATAAAAAAAATGTATGTAAGCTACAAATTTTGGAAGATCAATTGAACTCAATTTCAATCGAGATTTTTTTTTCATATTTATTTATCAATTTTAAAAATAGCATAAGCGAGCTGGAAAAACAAAGTACTCTATAACAGTTTAAGTTTTTAAAAATTCGACTATAATATTTTCTAGTTAAGAATTTTTTTCATATTCAACATATCCAAATAACATATACAAATATAAAATCTTTAGAAGATCAATTGGAATTGTTTTTTTTTTTATATAATTGATGCTTCAGTTTTGCAAATGCCACGAGGTAATACGGAACGCAAAGAATATGTTTTGAGAATATAAATGATCAATTGAAATTATTTTCAATTGAGCATTTTTTCACATTCATTCTCAAGTGAAGTGTTATTGACTTTTTTTTTTTTTTTGCCTATTTGATCTAAAAGTGTCACTTTCGACTTTCCTGTGCAAGGTAAAGGCTGTCCATGTCTCAATAAATTCTCATTTTTTTTTAAATTTAATGGTAGATAAAATTTCATAGTGGGCTTCATTTAATTGTTATTGCTCCGTTTTTTTGTTCTTTTTTTGTCAGGCACAACCTTTTTTTTTTTGTGGGGCTAACATGCAAGCAGCGGCTTTTTGTTCTTCCTAGTTCCTATGGATCTTGGCCTTTTTATTTGGGTCGGACCGCCCTAATTTTGGAACTTCCCTTATAAATGATTACTTTTTTAGATTTGTGTAAATGACATTTTTTAATAAGCAAGATCCTGAATTAACCCCAAGATTCCATAATTTCAAAAATTAAAATTATAATAATCAGATATGTAAATGCAGGAAATAATAGTTAACATCGCTCTTGAATAATGTGTTTAATAATAGGTTTTATGTTTTATATTGATTTATAAAAAATTAAATTTTCTATATCAGCACACGCATATACGAAAGAAAGATGAGTATCAAAATCAAATGGGGATGAAAAATATGAGTAATCAAGAACATTGAAAATAAATAATTCCCTCCCCCGTGTTTTGCAAATGTTCGTTGTCCAAACATTCCAGGATTCTAAGATAATAACATCTACTTTGTCACATCTAATATTGATTGCTATTTTAAAAGCCAGAGGGTATCCTGAACAATGCAACCTCTCTTTTTGATGGTGAAGGCGTGAAGCTGCCCTCGAGAATCATGCTTTCAACAGTTAAGAAACTTGGTCGTGACTCGCCCTTTGCTTTGCACACAAATCAACTAAGAAATACCATAATCTTTTAGAATATCATGGAAGATTATCAGGAAACCTTCGAAGATAACACGCGCGCGCACAGAAATCAACGCAAAATAATTATCGTCTCATCTCTCGTGTAGAGGCGAAGCAGATAATACTAGAAAATGTGTGTTTGCGAGAAGGGGGGGGGGCATTGTGGCCACAAGTAGATCGGGAAACATTAATAATCGAAGTTATGTCACGTGATTGTTTGGAAATACGGAGGAGATAGACGAAGTTAGATCTCTTTATACCAGAAAAAACACAGAGAACATATGATGATCTGATGATAGTTACAAGTACATGTATCGGACTATTCCAACTGGAGACCACATAGTTTTTGTTCCCCTAATCACCACACACTTCTCTTCTATACAGATTTTGCATATCTTTATGTAAAAACATGATAAAACATCCCAAAATTCCCAACATGATGTCCTCCATTACACGAGAGCACAGACATACATTAAACCTGTAAAAACCCGTTCATCCATGGATTCTCTTGACCTGCGCAGTACAAGAGCATTCACGATAAAAACTACGAACAATAATAATTAAACATTCCAAAATCACATACTGAATGTTAAACCCTTGTGCTATCCGTTGTCCATTAACAGCATCATACAACCCCAGTTCACCAGGACCAATATATAAATATAAATATAAGTTAACACGGAAATTGAACGATGCTCGATCCATAATCACTTGCCTTTTCTTGTTTGGTATGGGTATCACTGCTCATTAAGCCCTTGTTAACTGTGGCCGAACCTAAGCCCTTTCGATGAGTTGAAAGAGGGCTGGCGTGAGATCGATGATGATCCGGAGGAGGAGAGGACGAGTGGGTTTCAGGACCTCTATAATCAATCTCATATATCTCAGATTCCAAAGCTTGCGATGCCCCTATACAACTCCAAATTAATCAGAATATACCGAGTCCAAATACACGCACACGCACACGCATAAAAAGGGGCGCGAAAGCTAGAGAGAAGACGAGTTAGAAATAGAAGCAAACCTGTGGAGAAATAAGGGACAGAGAGGAGGAGGAAGAGAAAGAAACATGTGGTGAAGGTGGACCTAATCTCCATCATATACAGCATGCTCAGATTTCTGGAGGCTGTCGTGAGAGAGCAAGAAGACTATCAGAAGCTTCTTGCTTTGGAGTGATTTGTAAGTAAGAGGAGGAGGAGGAAGTGCTTTTAAATGAGTGATTATAAGGGGCAAGAGGTTGCTTTTGGTAATTGAAGCCATCAATCTCCACAGCAATAAGTTGCAAGGGGCGACGTGGATGTGTTGGGTTGGAACATTAATGACTCCATAACGAACCCATATCCTACGCGTATTTTATTTATTTGTTTATTTTATTTTCTGTTCATGTTTTATCTCGAGATCCAATCATCCAACATTATTGGACAAGGAAGGAGGAGCTGAGAAAGAAGGAAAGACAGGCATAATTTTGACTGAGCGCCCCCCCCCCCCCCCCAAGTGATTTAACAGGCTAGCTTCAAATTTCCTGGCGTCTTCATGATTAACTTGCTGAAACTCCCTGTTTCTTTCAAGTCTCAGGGTGCAAAAAGAGGCGATTATATACTGAAGAATTGTAGTTGAGACAAGTGCATGTGTTCATAATTGAAAACTGTCCCATGAAGGGACACCTCATCGAGATCGCCCAGCTGTACATCACACTCCTCGCTTTAATTTCGTTTCAGCTGTCCAACATCTCTCTGCTAAGCAGAATGCTAGCTAGTAATAATCACTGGCTTCTTCCTCGATCTATTTTATTTGACTTGAGCTTGTCGCACAAACTAGCTAAAATTTCAAGTTTAATTTTTCGACTACTGCATGCTTGTGTGTGTGAATTATTTGCTGAGACCTGGTTGACACAGCTTGTGGCCACACTAGGCAGTTAGTTACGATGTGTCAAAAAGGATACCCTATTATCCATATGATGATCAAGCTCGCACATCGACTCTCTAATGAAAGGTTCGGATAACCGGGATAGTGACCTTTTTGTTTCCATTTGCTCATCCACGTCCAGGAAGGTGGTTTTTCATTTTAACATACGTAAATACAGTCATGGGAGTGCGTTTTGATTAATACCCTGAAACAAAAACAAGCCATAATAACCGAACCAATTTTTTTATTTGGCACTCTATAGGATCAGAACAGATGGCCTGATGACCTTATTAGAATCCCAACTTCAGACTTCCGTACGTGACGGACAAAATTGCAGCCAAGTTAGACCAAAGTTTTCATTCCACAACTCTTACTATTATTATTATGTTGGCTCCGGAATTTAAACCAAAAAAGAAATCATTTTCGTGGGAATAAACTAATAAAGAGTGGGTCCTTTGCCTTTCAATGGGGGAATATAAGGGATAAATGGAATTAATGCCAGCAGAGAAACGATGGGAATATCTGTGGTACCCATAAATTCTAAAACGTAACGAATTACAAAATGTGATCGGTAGAGATACTGTCGAGATTAGAGAGACTTGATTTTTTTTTACCAACGATCAGAGAGACTTGATTAAAGGCAATGAAATGGATTGAAAGGGCTTGAATGAACGAGATTAGGTTTCATGGCGTGGCACGAGGTCAACGAGAGATAAAAGTGAGTTAGGACTCTCGCTCGTATCATAGACTTTAGAGTACGGATTCTGATCTCGCATCGCCTTCAATTCTCCTCTCGTGTGTGCGTGTTGGATCAGCTAAAAATACAAATCCTTGTGTCTCAGAAAATCAGCTAAAATTGCTTGCCTCTATTCGTGCCTGTCTTCTTCTCCACTTTTAACCACTGTTTCCAGACCGGACGATTCAGAGTCGGATCAGTTGAATCATTGCCCCAAAAAAAAAAAAAAAAGTCTGATCTAACCATTTGGCTTGTTTTGACAGTTGACTTGATTTGATTCAGGCGATTTTTAAAGAGCTGGAATAAAAGCCGAGATTTAAAGTTGTCGAACCGCGTGATCTATTTTTTAATATGTATATATATTAATTATTGTTTATTTAATTATTATATTACAGGTTGAATCACCTATTTAAGTGGTCAAACCACGAGATTTGTGGCCTGTTAATATTTCCGGTTTATTGTCGGACTGAGTCCTAGAACATTGCTTTCAACGGTTCAAGTTTCTTGAAGTTCTTTTTATTGGTGGACCGTGGAAATCATATCAGAATCAGATTGCTGCGTTCTGTGTATTTTCTGCTTTGACACTTTGACCAAATAATTCCAGTCACGGAAGGTCGTATTTCATTTGGTATACGTGGTGACACGCTATCCATGAGACTTTTTTTTATAAATTAAAATTATTCTTTAAATCCTTCGAATACGTCGATAAAATCCTTTTCCTGATGAAATAAAGTCATTATTATACCATACAAGTAATCTTTCTCATCTTAATGTTGTGCATGACCGGAGAGAAAAGTGAGAAGAAAAAAAAAATTCTGCTTAGTTATAAAGAAAATAGTAAAGAGGAGAGAAAAATAGAAAGAAAATAATATGTAAAACTCATGGGCTTTTATCTCTAACTTTTTTCTTTAAATATGGAGAGATTTTGAAGAGAAAATTTTATTTTTAAATTTATCCACCAATTTTCAAATTCAATATCTATAATGTAGTTACATTTTAATTATAAATTTTTGTTAAACAAGCAGTACATTTAATTTTTAAATTAATTAACTAAATGTTAATTCCAAATTTTATTTAAGTTTCTTATATTTGGTTGTAGTTTCAAAATTTTAAGATTATTATATATCTAATAATGTAGTAAATAAAATTATAATTGGATATAAAACAATTTTTTGTCAGTGCTAAATAAAATAATTTGGAATTGTGTTATAATTATGATAGAAAATATATATATATAGATATAATATGTTAAAATATTAAATTTTATTATATATAAATATTTTTATAAATAATAAGGTTATTTATTCACATAAAATTAATAATTTTTCTCCTTCCTATTTTCTTTGGTGTAACATCCCAATTTAAATTTTAATAGTTAATTTGGATTAATAGAAATTTTGAAAAGTATTTAGAGGTAAATAAATTAGTAGGAGATGATTATTAAATCTAACTTAGGATATAATTATAAATTAAAAATAAAAAATAAAAAAAATAAATATATATTATTAAATTATTATTATTATAATAAAAAAATGTATTAAAAAAAAAAGAAACTAAGAAGAAGAAGTTTGGCTTCCTCTTTTGGCGTCCGTGCAATCATTGTATATAATAATAATATAAAAAAAAGGGAGAGAGAGAAAAAAGAAGAAATAATAAAAAAAAAGATGTGGGACCTACTGAATTTTTATAAAAACTCACCTGTTCCTTCGTTTCTTCATTCATTCCTTCGTGCATGCTGAGGCAGAGAGAACGCGAGTCGCCGGTACGAAATATCTAAATTTTTAAGATAAGAGTTTTTAATAGGATATTTAGGGTGTGATTTTAAGCTTTTCAATACTAAGTAAGTGTTCTAAAAATTTTTCTTAATCATCTTTCTTCTTTGATTTCTGAGTTTGTAGTGGTAGAAAATTTAAGATCTGGAAGAGAGATGAATTTATGTTGAATAAATATGATTTTTGAGGTTGTCAGTAGTATAATAAATATTCTAGAGTATAAATTTGTTGATAATCTTTGAATTTATGGCTTATGAATCAAATTCTAAACTAGATCTGAAAATATATATTGATTTATTGAGGTTTAGATGATTATTTGGGATGAGAAATAAATTATTATGGCTATAGGATTATGATTCTAAGCTAGAGACTCAATTTTTAATTTTGGGTATTTTAGGTGCGAATTTATAAAATAAAAAAAAATTTGATAATGGAAATTAGTTTAAAATTAAATTTTTAGATTATTAATATTTATTTATAATTAAAAGAGGAGTTAAAAATTTTACTTAATAGTATTAACTATAGATTTGTATTAAGATTGAGATTAGAAATTATGTTATATTTTTAATTCTATTATTAGAATTATTTTATTAGTTTCAAAAATTGAAACTAATATTTATAAATAATATGTTATTTGTAGATTATATTACTGGTGAAAATTGTGGTAAGAGAGAAATTTTAAGGAATAATTTATTGAAAAAGCCACAAGGTAACCATGCTTTTAATTTGTGATTTGTGTTACTTCATGTTAATTGGGTGATTATTAAGAAAATTATAAATTTGTAATATTATATAATTGTGCAAATTATTATGAATTTATTTGATTATTGTGGGAGGTGTTGGGAGACTTGCTATTGTTGTTGTATTTATGTGCCACGTGGTATGCTTCTGTTGGAGCTCAATAGGTGGCTTGTAAGGGTTCGGGCCAATCTACTTTTGGCCGGGTAATTTAGCTTCAAGTGAGGGCTACGGCTCGAGGTTAATTGAGGGATATAAGGATGGTTGTTTGTGTGTATTGTAATATTTCTTATATTTGTTGGAATTATTATTTTTAATTCTTACTTAGTAAGCACACACTTAACTATTTGTATACACTATCATAAATTAGCTTTGGTTACTGGGGCTTTGAGTCTCATTATGTGGTTAACAATTTCCAAGAGAAGAGCCACGAGTGACACGTGGAGGAGTCCTAGAGACTTAGTGGTATAAATTCACTGTCTCTTTTGTGTATTTAATTTATAATTTATAATGTGTTATATTGTCAATATTAGGACTTTTTGTTATTGTCAATTATATGAATATATAAATGTAATCATGCCTTTCAAACTATTTCTATTTTTGGTACAATTTGGATGACTGTAATTTTAATATTTGGTTTACTTTGGATTGGTTAAAATGGCATGATTATAAGGCCAAATAACTGGCTTGTGTTGAAAATTGACTAAATGCTTATTTTACTTGTTGGGAGTATAATGATGGACAAATATGATTTAGTTTACTTGTTAGGAGTATAAGAATGGATAAATGTGATTTAGCCTAATGACATGTGGGAGGTAAAAATTTATCTGAAATATTATAGTGTGTAAGTTGAAGCTAATTATAAAATATTTTATATTAAAATTATTGATATAAAAATATGTTGGGTGGCTGTAACCCAATGATGGTTGAGTTAAATTATTTAAAAAAAAATTTGGTGTGTTACATTTTGCTTAGCCAAACATAAAAGGAGAAAATTGCATCCATGAACTTTTATTTTTCTATATTTTCTCTTCTCTCATTTTCTCTCATTCATATTTTCTCTTGCAAGTTAAGCACATATAAATATATATCTATAA